CTCCATGCTATCAGTGTGGAGCCATATGTGGGACTTGATCTCACAACTGCAAGACCATGACCTGAGCCAAAATCAAGAGTCGGACGCTTGACTGAGTGAGTCACCCAAGCGCCCCAGGTTTCAATCTTTTATTGAGCATTTGCTTCTGGACTGTGAACTTCCCAAGTTTTCTCACTGCTCCCCACCCCCAGGTGAAACAGGATGGTTACAGTGTACTGGAATTGGGTATTTTCCCTTTCCCTCATGGGAAGCTAGAGCCTTCTGGAGCTGGATATTTTCCTTCCCTCAGAACAGTTAAGCTCTGATAATAACTCAATAGGTTAGCCTCCCATTAATTAGTTTCCCCTCACGGAGACTCTTTATAAGAAGAGCAGAATGCTCTGGATATTTCAAAATGGTTCCTTTTCTGCTCCCACTGCCAGAAGCATGAGAGGATTTTTCTCTTTCAGACTCTGTGGGAGTCTGTCCATGTTCCTGGAGGTAAATCTCAAAATATCACGATTCCATGACTGTTTCTCCCTGGAGTTTTCAATTCTCAGACTTCTCCATACTAAGTCTCCAGTGATTCATCAATTATAGTTCAGATTTCCCTACTCCAGCACTGATTACCACAGTGGTTTCTCCTCTTGAGTCTCTGTACCAGTAAGTTGTGACTCCCTATATCTCCCTGTGACTCTCTTATCTTTGGGTCATTGATTTTCCCAGTGTCCTCTCATCCACCCAACTTTTACACATCCAACAAGAGTTGTTGGTTTTCCAGTCTGTTCAGCTTTTAACTTGTCAAAATGGAGTGGTGATTTCCAAGCTCCTTACATTCAGAACTAGAAAGTGTAAGTCCTTGAAAATATTTTTTATTTTTATGAAGTCTAATTTGCCTATCTTTTGTTTTGTTGCTTATGCCTTTGATATCATATTCAAGAAATCACTGCCAAAACCAGTGTCATGCAGTTTTTGCCCTATATTTTCTTCTAAGAATTTCATAATTTTAGTCTTATATTTAGGTCGTGGATCCATTTTGAGTTCATTTTTGTATGTAGTGTTGGGTAAGGTTATAACTTCATTCTTTTGCATCCTGTTTTCCCATCAACATTTGTTGAAAAGACTCTTTTTTCTCCCATTGAACAGACTTGACACCTTTGTTGAAAATAATTTGACCTTATTTATATATGAGGATTTATTTCTGGAATCTCTATTCTATCGGTCTATGTTTGTCTTTAGGCCAGTGTCTTTAGGCCACACTATTTTGATTACAGGAGCTTTGTAATAAGTTTTAAAATCAGGATGTATGAGTCCTCCAGCTTTGTTCTTATTCAGGATTGTTTTGGCTGTTTGAAGTCCCTTGAGATTCCATATGAAATTTTTTTTATTTTTTATTTTTATTTTTTAACATTTATTTATTTTTGAGACAGAGAGAGAGCATGAACAGGGGAGGGTCAGAGAAAGAGGAAGACACAGAATCTGAAACAGGCTCCAGGCTCTGAGCTGTCAGCACAGAGCCCAACGCAGGGCTCGAACCCACAGACCGCGAGATCATGACCTGAGCCGAAGTCAGACGCTTAACCGACTGAGCCACCCAGGCGCCCCTCCATATGAATTTTTAAATGAGATTTCCTATTTCAGCAAAAAAAATCATAGGGATTTTGATAGAGATTACATTAAACCTATAGATCACTTTGAGTTGTATTGACATCTTAATAAGTCTTTCAATCAATGAACATGAGATCTCTTTGCATTTGCTTATATATTCTTTAATTTCTTTCAGAAATGTTTTTGTTGGGGCACCTGGGTGGCTCATTTGGTTAAGTGTCCAACTTTTGACTTTTGGCTCAGGTCATGATCTCACAGTTCATGGGTTTGAGCCCCATGCAGTCAGCATGGAGCCTGCTTGAGATTCTCTCTCACCCTCTCTCTTTCTGCCTCTCCCATTTGAGCATGCATGTGTTCATGTGCTCTCAAAATAAATAAATAATCTTTTTTAAAAAAGTGCTTTTGTTGTTTTCATCATACAAGTCTTTCACCTTGGTTAAGTTAATTCCTAAGTATTTTATGATATTATGAATGAAATTGTTTTCTTAATTTCCTGTTCAATTGTTCATTTTTAGTGTATAGTGTTGCAGCTGATTTTCGTGTGTTGACTTTGTATCTGCCACTTTGTTGAATCCATTTATTAATTTCAAGTTTTCTGTGCAATCTTTAGGGTGTTCTATATATGAGATTGCATCTGTGAACAGAGATAATTATACATCTTCTTTCCCATTTTGGATGCCTCATTTTTGGGGAGAGGGCAGTTATTTGCTCTGGCTAGAACTTTCAATACTTTGTTGAATAGAAAAGGTGAAAGCAGGTCTCCTTGCTTTGTTCCTAATCTTAGAGGAACAGCTTTCAGCCTTTCACCACTGAGTATGTTTGCTGTGGGTTTTTCATGTATGGCATTTTATTATGTTGAGGTGGTTTCCTTCTATTCCTAGGAATCTGAGTGTTTTTATCATGAAAGAATGTTGAATTTTGTCACATGTCTTTTCTGCATCTATTGAGATTATCATGCGTTTTTTTTCCTTCATTCTCTTAATGTGGCTTATTACATTGATTATGTATACTGAATCATCCTTAAACTCCACAAATAAATCCCACATGCTCATGGTGTATAATCCTTTTAACATGCTGCTGAATTCAGTTTTCTAATTTTTTTTGAGGATTTTTTTTGGAGGAATCAGTGTTCATGAGGGAAGTTGATCTGTAGTTTTCCTTTCTTGTAGTGTCTTTGTCTGCCTTTGGTATTAGGGTAATGATGGCCTAATAGAGTAAGAAAGTGTTCCTTCCTCTTTATCTATTTGGAAAAGCTTGAAAAAGATCAGTATTATTTCTTGAGTGTTTAGTAAAATTCACCAATGAAGCCATTGGGCAAGGGCCTTTCTTTGTCAGGAGATTTTTAAAAATTACTGGTTCATCTTTTTACTAGTTATAGGTCTATTTGGATGGTGTAGCTATTTTCTCTGTGCTTACTGTGGACATTGCATTTAATATCTTAAATTATAGTACTCTGAATTTGTACCAGCTTAAACTCAATAATATACAAAAACACTCTGCTATTTTAACAGCTCTCTCTGATAACAAAATTTCCAGTCATTTATGTCCGCATTTATTTTTTCCTTGAATATAATATCATGTAGCCTTTTATTTTCATAATAACTACCATGATAATGCAGTCCATGGTTAACTATTTTTTAAGTTTCAATTAAGTGTCATCTGATCATTGTAAATGACATTTTTCTTATACTGAGAATATATTCAAATCCAACAATTTTCATCAAAATAAAGAGGATGAAACATTACCATATGGCTTATGGTTGAGATTATATTTAAAGATCACTGTAATTCCCAACATTAAAACATGATAATTTATAGTTTTCAGTTAAATAGAGATATGTTTTAAAAGGCAAAATAAGCTTTTAACTGTAGAAAACAAAGTATATTTAATTCAACAGTTTTATGTTTGGAATATCTGAATGACAGCAAATTGCAGTTAGCATTATTCTATGTATTCTTCATAGTAATAAAATGCATAAAAGGAAATTTATACCACATTAAACTACCTTGTACATTAAAATATTGACAGTATTATCTAAATCTATTAGCATTTAAAAAAGTATCAAGTTCTGAATTTGCTTCATTTCAAGAATAAGAGGGTACTGATGTATCTTATATTCCTGTACCTTTGTAATGAGGCAATTACTACATTGGAATTGCTATTAAAATTATAATCTGTTTTTTTTTTTTAAATAACATCATGTTTCATCTACATTTTAATTATCAAGTAAACAGTGACTTAGGCTTTCTGATTAGGAATTTATATGAATCCTGATTTATATTAATATCCTTAAATATCCATGGTACTTGAAGTAAAAATGTTAAGGCCATCCTTTTTAAAGTAACTTGTGATAGTTTATTCAGATCACATTTATTAGTCAAATTTTGATGTAATTATGGGGTTCTGATTATAAATTGCACTAAAGTTGAAAGAGAAGTTTAATAGGTTTTTCTCAAATAGTTTTTTTCTGAAAACCTAATCTTCACTTTAGATTTACATTTAAAAATTTGACTACAGATTATTATAATATTCTCAGATATGTGTACTTGATATTGATTCAATGTTAATTTTATTCTTATTGACATATGACAATGACTTAATAAGAAAAAAATGTGCAGCTGAAAATTTGACATAGGAATAAAGATCCAAGGGACACTAACTTAATTTGGAATAATGACTTTTAGAGGCGAAAGTTATTAGTTCAGCACTTAGATGTTATATAACAAGAACAAAGGAAAATGTCCCAAATTTCAATATTCTAAGATTTCAAGTATCAAAAAGTGATGTCTCTGTTCATAAACACTGAAAGAATTTTAAATGTATTTCAGAAAAATTTCTAAAAATATCATAAGTAAGTTCCTGGTAATATTATTTTAAAAATTAGCACGCACAATATCCTAGAATAAGGTGAACTTTAGTGGCCAAAGTGTTTTATTTTAAAGCTCCGGTATTCAGTTACAAATATTTAATAATAAAAACATGAGCTGATAAATTGTTTTAAATGAAAAGATGTAAGGTTATTGGTGCATATTTCGATTTTCCCAAAATCTAATTGTAATATATTTGTGACCACTGCTAAAGGACAGTATTGAATTACATACTCTTAAGTGAGTGTACAGTCTTTAAAAGACATAATTGAAAGTGATTGCATTGAATAAATTGCAAATGAATATATAGCCTATTTTGGAAATCAATGAAGAATCTACAATCTACAGCATTAGCCACATGATGTCGCTGTATACCACAAAGTCTTGTCAATGTTAATGTATAGATCACCAAAAACTAAGGGAGGAAGCTCCATTTTGTTACAGCCTGAGAGAAGACAAAAACAGGAGACATATTATTCAAGATATAAAGTAAAGAAAGCATGATTTTGAAGTGAGAGCGGTACCAAAGGTGTAGTGGTTTTGAGATGCTGTTTCCTAGGCAAGGAGGCAAGGGAGCCCAGCGCCTGCTGCTCTTCGTTTTGCTCCTCGCAGCCTGGAAGGCTGGGAGTGGTCAGGTCCACTACTCGGTCCCGGAGGAGGCCAAACACGGCACCTTCGTAGGACGCATCGCGCAAGACCTGGGGCTGGAGCTGGCACAGCTGGTGCCACGCCTGTTCCGGGTGGTGTCCAAAGGCCGTGGGGACCTTCTGGAAGTAAATCTGCAGAATGGCATTTTGTTTGTGAATTCTCGCATCGACCGCGAGGAGCTTTGCGGGCTGAATCTGGAGTGCAGCATCCACCTGGAGGTAATTGTGGACAGGCCGCTGCAGGTTTTCCATGTGGAGGTGGAGGTGAAGGACATTAACGATAACCCACCGGTTTTCAGAGGGAGAGAACAAAGGTTATTTATTCCTGAGTCTAGACTGGTGGATTCACGTTTCCCGATAGAGGGTGCTGCTGATGCGGACATTGGGACCAATGCTCTAATAACTTACACCCTCAGCCCCAGTGATTATTTCTCTTTGGATGTACAGGCAAGTGATGAACTGAGTAAGTCACTTTCACTTGAATTGAGGAAATCTTTGGATAGAGAAGAAACACCAGAACTTCGTTTATTATTGACGGCCACTGATGGGGGCAAACCAGAGCTGGAAGGTACAGTTCAGCTGCTGATCACAGTGCTGGACGTTAATGATAATGCCCCATTGTTTGCCCAGGCTGTGTATAGAATCCATTTATTAGAGACTACAGCAAATGGAACATTAGTGACTACATTAAACGCCTCTGATGCCGATGAAGGTGTAAATGGCGAAATTGTCTTTTCCTTTGGCAGTGATGTTCCCCTAAACATTCAAAAAAACTTCAAAATTGATTCCAGCTCAGGAGAAATTAGGCTAATTGGTAGACTGGATTATGAAGAAACAAAATCTTATGAAATTCATGTAAAAGCAGTTGATAAAGGAAGTCCTCCAATGTCAAATCACTGCAAGGTTTTAGTGAAAGTGCTAGATGTAAATGATAATGCTCCACAACTGGCAGTCACATCTCTGTCTTTGCCGGTCAGAGAGGACACTCCACTCAGCACCGTCATTGCTTTTGTTTCCGTGTCCGACCGCGACTCCGGTGTCAACGGGCAGGTGACCTGCTCTCTGACGCCTCACATCCCCTTCAAGCTGGTGTCCACCTTCAAGAATTACTATTCGCTGGTGCTGGACAGCGCCCTGGACCGCGAGAGAGTGGCGAACTATGAGCTGCTGGTGACCGCACGGGACGGGGGCTCGCCTTCGCTGTCGGCCACGGTCAGCGTGTCCGTGGAAGTGGCCGACGTGAACGACAACGCGCCGACATTCGCGCAGGCCGAGTACACGGTGTTCGTGAAGGAGAACAACCCTCCCGGCTGCCACATCTTCACGGTGTCCGCGCGGGACGCGGACGCGCAGGAGAACGCGCTGGTGTCCTACTCGCTGGTGGAGCGGCGGGTGGGCGAGCGTGCGCTGTCGAGCTACGTGTCGGTGCACGCCGAGAGCGGCAAGGTGTACGCGCTGCAGCCGCTGGACCACGAGGAGCTGGAGCTGCTGCAGTTCCAAGTGAGCGCGCGCGACGCGGGCGTGCCCCCGCTGGGCAGCAACGTGACGCTGCAGGTGTTCGTGCTGGACGAGAACGACAACGCGCCCGCGCTGCTGCCGCTGCCTGGGG